GACATTTTTTCCAATAGGATATTTAGACAATAATTATTTTCAATATGGAATTTTTACGACAAATTTTTATATTGAATATATGTATAAATCATTTAATATAGAAAGTATTATAAAGCTGATTTTATTTTTTTAAATATTAGTTGAATGATCAAAAGAGTCGATATTTTCACTAAAATTTTTTTAAATCTAAAAAATGTTTTAAATGTATAAAGAGTATACGCGCGATGGAAAGAAGACAATAATAGTTGTATATAAAATTAGTAAGAAACTATTATATAATTTTATATATAATTTTTATATATAAAATTTGTATATATAATTTTTGTATAGACTTTGTCCATAGTTCTTCGCAGAGGTTATCTTAAACCAGTCATGATGGACGGCTGTAACCACGTGTCTGCAGAGGAATCCGCGCGACACTATATGGTTGAGAGAACATGGAACGAAATGTGCACGACTCGGAGACAAATCGGAGGACGTCGGTCCTCTCGGGCTTTGAAAAGCCACCGATTTATCGGAGCCGTTTGATCGAAATTTCAATGGTCACACACCATTCTCCCCATAGTGACAGAGAGAAAGGTAAGTCGATGCGGAGAGTTGATCGGTATTGACAGCAGGTTGGTGGGTCGTATACGTGTATGGATGCCGGAGCACACAGCGATCGATACGATGTATCTCGTTCGATGCTTTGTGCTCCGTCATTTCACGATTCCCCCGAAGCTTCGTACGAGAATTTGATAAGGCGTCAACAGCGGCGGTGATGCTCGAAACACAGAGCCCAGAAGACTACCATTAAAGTATCGTTGCTCGCATCGTGAGATAGGAAAAAGCTTTGAGATTCGATTACAAAATGCAGTGTGATGAAATATCACATGATGAATTTATGATAAAGAAAAAATTACGTATTTTTCCGCCAAAGTATTTATTATGTCATTATTATTGTATATTTTATGTGTGTTATTTATTTTATTCAGTTACATTATGATATAAAATAAAATATATGTATAATATTGTTTTTATATAAAATATATAAATTATTACATATAAAGTAATAAAATATTACTATATTATATAAAATATGAAAAATACACATATAATTACACATATAATGACATTAAATTTATATCATATTGCTTTTGATTTAAAGCGCTGAGAAAATATAAAGCAAGCTTTATATAAAGAGAAATAAGTTTCAGAGATGAACAAAAAGAAAATTCAATGTGACGAGTTAATATCACGTACCATCTCGTGTTGTTTTTTGCTCTCTTTTCGCGATTTCTTTCGTTCTCTTTTTCAACCGCGCTAAGGCAGGCAGGAAGGATCGGCAAAATGAATCGTATGCCTCGAGGAAACGTATTTCTCATATTTTATTCCTGCTGCCTTACCGTCACCTTTTTTCATTACGGTTTGATTTGAACCCCGAAGTTGGGGTTCGTATAGCCTATAGCCGCACTAACGTGGAGAGTATCTAAGGGAGTGAGAGAGGAAAAGAAACGCGAGGAAATTTGCACGTCTCCCGCTCGGAATGATGAATGAGCCGCTTTATCTATTCTACTCTCAGATATCGTTCTGACTATTAAAGGAAAGAGATGCGGGAAATTCAAACGCGCGTGACGAGGCCTCTCGTTTACAATTCCACGTATATATATATATATCGCACAGTCTGTTGTTCTCTCTGTTGTCGCGACTTTCGGTATTAAGTATTCATCGTCGTCGTGTGATTTAAATAATGTAGACTTTCGCAACGAGACCACTTTGCCACGAAACTAAATCCTGAATTCTCTCTCGCCGTCTCGAATTGTATAAAAAATACGGATTTGTAATCAGAATCTCTCAAAAGAGTATACACGCGCAGTAAAACTATTCTCGCGATAATACTTTTTTTCAAGGTTCATTGACCTCGCCTAGTCTCTCCTTCGCCTAAGAGCTTATTGAATCGATAACGGACGGATATAATCCAATACGGATGCAGGTTTACTCTCGAAAGATTTTCGGCGGCTATTCTCGCGGTTAATTTCGAGTGGTCTCGCGTATATAAGGTATTCGCCCAAGTTATTAAGGCCCTAACCGAGGTCTCGCTTCCGTAGATCTCGAAGAGACTTACGGCGAGCCGTTACTGAAAACACAATTTTCCGACAATCTGCTTTCCCGGTGGACGAGAGGCAATCAAGCGTCGCTTAAGAACCCGGCGCGGCGGTCCGTTTTACGATCTGGCAGCGAAACGTCGCTTCCCCATCGACGAGATTGAACGACGAATATACCGCGAACTCGCCAAGTTCGCGATATCTCTCCCTTAACTTTTCCACGAAATGGATTCTTTCGTAACGCTTTGTAACTCCGTTCAACGTTTTGTTTTCGCTTGTCGTTACAGTTGAGCGATTTTCGCGTTTCCACACATCCGAATTTATTGCCTGTATCAGCAATGCAAATGAAAACATATGCATGTATGTGTATATATATATATATATATATATATTTATTTATTGGTTAAAATTTACTGATGCAAATAGAGATTCTCATATATCCGGAAACATATGTTTGCGTGTCATATATTATATATATATATTCACGGTCTAATTCAGAATTTATTCATGGGATAATCTTATGAAAATAGATATATATCAGTACGCAATGTATATTTGAATATTTATATAGCTAGATTTAGAATATTAACCGCGACGTGTGTTTCAGCCGAGTTTGCATAATCGTGCCCGCTAAGAATGAACATAAAATTTATGACGTCAACTAAAATTCATAAGATATTACGAATTTATCTTGAATATATCTAGAAATCTTTCGCAAAGTATACGCGCGATAAAAGTTGGATTTTATAATTGTCTCTTGCACTGTAATTATGTGTATTCCGCCGAATTAGGAACAATCAACGATAATTATTTTATAATTGCGTGTCTATTTCCGGGAAGGAGCGCGATCGCAATTCGCGGTTTGGATAAATGAAGCCGTGCAAGAAGCACCTACTGAGACTGACGAGGAGACAGAAAGGCGTAATGAGAGTAGTTTACTGCTTAATCGGAGTTTCTCGAGCGGAGATTCCCTCTGCAACTACTCCAATTAACCCGCCGTAAGATCCGATTGTGAATAGGTTCAAGGATAAATTCGGTGCGATATTGATTAACCGTCTAACTGTCAGGCATCTCGACAGCAAGTTAAGGATATCCATTAATAGCACTTTCTAAAGATTCATTTTGTTAATTACATAGCGCAGTTACCGCGTGAAGAAGACAAGTATAATATGCTAACATTTCCGCTTTTAAACATCCAACACCATCCAGAATCGTCCAAATTCCATCGTGCTTTCGCATCGATTCTCCCTATCGATTCTCTCGATTGCAAGCAAACAGAGACATGGTCATGTAACGCGCAGCATGGTACGTGTAACGTACACACGTAGCATTTCGTGTAAAGCACGGTCAGTAACTGTTTAATGCAAGATTGACCGACGGACGCAGTTTGCACTGCGGAGTGCTCTGTTATAGTTGTTCAGGGTCCCGCGCAGGAAGCGACTGGGGGCCTTGATAGGCGTCGTTATGTCTTTGTGAATGAATGACTACGGGACAAATTACACAACGTGGGCGGGGATAGGTACGGGAAATATTTTTATAAGTTCGAGTACCACGACAGAAGACAAACAAAACGCTTACGTGTGAGAAGCACGAAATTGTCGCATTAATTATATATTCATTCGTTTCTCTGTACTTGTATCTATTTTTAGTTTTCATTTTATGCAACTGAATGATTTAGCACGATGCAATTGATTTTTTAAATATATAATTTTTTAGCGTAAAAAATGAATGATAGATTTATGCACAGAAAGAATTTTTTAGGATTTAGCCTGAAAATTACATGGTAACCATGGGATAATATGGTATTGAAATAATTTTATAAGAGTTTCTTTGATTAATATTTACATCAAAATAAAAATATTAATATATCTACCAATAAAATATAAAATATGTTCAATTAATTTTGTGTACATATTAATCAAAGAAACTCATAAAATTCTTTCAACCATACCATATTATTCTACGATTACCATGATTTTTAGGGTAAAGTCTAAGAAAAAATTCTTTTTGTGTACAGATCAAAATAGAATTAAAAATCAGTAATTTTTAATTAAACGTGATCGTATTGAAATAGAATGAAGAATCATTTATTTAATTAGGAACACGATCATATAAATATTAAACAATTTTCTATTATTATCTAAAATTTGATCACGTAAATAAGGAACGCACGAGACATTGAAAATTCTCGTTTATCATATTACAAAATCTTGAAGTATGAGAATACTTGCTCTATCTTATTCTCGGACACGTAATCGTATAATGTTATACATACAATATTTATCACATATTCGAATATCGGCTTTAAAGTTGCAAAAGCTTAATTACATCAAAATTGCTATTTTATTTTATCATATACAGTACCCTCCATAAGTTTAGAAACACCTTATATTTTACAGTTAAAGAATTGCATGACAGTGATCTATTATAAATAAAAATATCATTTAAATATTTTACGTTTATTTTATGTTTTATTTATACAAAAGATCTGCACAGATCTGTCAAGAGGATCATCTTAATTGAAGAGAAAAATTCTCTAAAGAAATATTCTTTAATTAGATATTCGTAACATGCAAGAATATAAACTTAATGGGATGTTTTTTATCAGTATATATTATTTGAAAAATTATATTAATCGTGATAACAAAAAACAGTCTTATAAATGGAAATTTGTTATTTATTGCATACAGTACCCTTCACAAATTTACATTTTACTGTTAAACAATCGCATGGCAGCGATCTGTCATAAATAAAAATGTCATTCAAATATTTTACGATTTATTGATACAAAAAATCTACACAGATCGTTGCTATACGATTGTTAACTGTACAATGTAAAGTGTTTCCAAACTTATGGAGGGTACTGTATATTTTAATTTAAAATATGTTAATTTTACAATATTACAGATAGAATCGCTATCTCAGCGCGTAAATCGGCTCCTCATCGCTCTCGTACTTGTATCTGCCGAATGGTTGATTGTTGTGCATATTGTTCGCTGCCATGTACGCGTATACGCGAGGGTTTCGCGTTCCGGGCACGTAACGTCCGTATCGAGACAGGACGAGGGCTAAAACGGGATTGGGTGGCGGATGTAACTTGCTGTTGTAACTGTCGTCGTTCAAAGCACGGCTCAGGAAGCGATCTAAAGCCTTGATGGCCGCCGTTACGTCTTGCGACCCGCGACGGTAATACGTCGATAGCTCGGCTGTTCCGCGATACGGCAGTCTATCGTGATCCGGCTCGTTCGTCAAGTATCCGTCGAGCACTTCGATATCCTCGTACGCGAATCGTCTAGGTACATGCCGCTGATATTCCCGGATATCTCGAGATCCCGATAACGTCGTCGTCGTCGGCGTCGTCGTCGTCGTCGTCGTCGTAGACGGCGGCGATGCATTCGGCACTTTCGCCAAAAAGTCGTCTTGCTGAATTTCCGTAGGGAACCTTGTCGAGAAAGAGGTGATATAATATGTGCGATATCTTTCTTAGCGAGAGATACCGCGAGATTTTTCATCTCGGAACGTATATCAAATAGTCGATTCTTATTTTAAAATTCTATCTGTCTATAAGATATCTATCCTCAAGATTTACTGAAAAATTTAGTTGCAGTTTGATTTATATTTCCATATTTTTAGAATTACAAATATATGATTATATAATATATTAGGTGAGTCAGTTGAAAAAATTTAAATAGTGTTTATCTCATAATTTGAATACAAAAGGTACACATTAATATTAGTTTTCTATACGTAATCTCTATAGCGTGCAATACAAGTTCCAGTATTTCGGAAGTGCATAGATACCTCTAGAAAAAAGTCTTTTATCTGCATTGCCTGCTTCACCTCTTCGTTGGACCTGGGAATCGATTCTGTATTATACACCTGGATGAAAATTACAAAAATACGAATTTAATAGAAAATTTATAATTTTATTGATCCAAATGGACCTAGTAAATTCCCTCATTTTTATAATTTTCACATTTTCAGAATCAATTCTCTAAAATTTGCTTCTCATTTACAAAGCGACATCAAAGACGTGAAAATTATTAAGGGCAAGATTTGCCAAATATATGATGAATGCTCATAAAAATGATGGGAAGCAAGTATCAGGTCTGATGAAGAGATGAAACTGATATGAGTGTTTACGTTCTCGGATAAAAGATTTCTTTTCTAAAGATATCTATGCACTTCCGAAGCGCTGGAACACTTGTATTGCACACAATAGAGACTACGTAGCAAAATAATGTAAGAGAGAGTGTGTACCTTTTGTATATTCAATAAATTGTAGAGATAAAAAATATTTAAGATTTTCAGTCGATTTACCTAATACATATATATTTTATTTCAAAAAATTCATTGATTAAGAAATTTGTTATCAAGTATTAGAGAAATTTGAGATAAATAATATTTGCAACTTTTGCTTAGAAAAAAATGAACGACCGATTAATCAAAGAATATTGATGAAGCTGTATACAATAAGAATTTTGTGCATATTAATTACGACTGTCTTGCGTATAAACATATTATTTTCGACGTGCAAAATTATAATTAAAAAAATAATTAAAAATCATTTATATATAATATATAATTATAAAAAATATAATTAAAAAAATATTGACGTATAATAAAAAATATAATAATATAATTTAAAAAATTGACAAATTTTGGTACCTCTGAGGTCCAGTCTGCGACTTCTGTCTGTGAGTATTCAAGGTCGAAATCACGGATTGAAGTCCCGCTGGATGTTCTCTGGAGAACGTGAGCTTTTCCAGATTGGTCCCGATCGAACGACCGTCATGTCGATGATTCGGATGTTTCGGAAACTGCGCGTTCGTAGTTGGCACATAACTATGCCATGGACGCGGCACATTCGTCGGATCCAATGCCTTGGCCGCCAGTATGGCACTCGTCAAGCAAACCCGTGTCACCTACATTTAGACAATGTCTGTTAGCGTGTCTGCTTTCGAATATACGCATTCCGGCCGTGCCATTCCGTTATACGAATCGTTGCTTAGAGCAACGGCACAATGCCAGATTCGTTTTAGGACCAGGGTCGTTGCACCCAGGCACCCTGAGTTAAAATGTATGAGCGATCAAGCTCACGGACGATGGTATAGCTCGAGACTTTCGGATTTTTATCGGATCGACTTTTTGGGATTTTTATTGTCGGAGAACTCTCTGGAGAGAGAATTCTCATAAGTTTTGTTAACGCGCGTCGAATGCGATAAATCAAGATAGTTGATAAAAACTTCATACTTTGATTGATATATCGTATAAAAATGTACTTCATCGGAAAACCGTACTGTCTTTTATTAATCGCTGCATTGAAAAAAAAGTTGTTAACTTGATTAAATCGTTCAAGTACACAAAGAGAATTTTCTCTTAGAATTTCTCCGAAAATCATGATAATTGTAGGACAATATGATATTGGAAGAATTTTATAAGAGTTTCTTTAATTAATATTTTTACCACAATAATAAATGTTAATATCTACCACAATAAGATATAAAACATATTCAATTAATTATAGTAAAATTTACTATGTACATTAATATTTTTTATTGTGGTAAATATTTAATCAGAGAAACTCTTAAAATTCTTCCAATACCATATTGTCTCACGATTATCATGATTTTTTTTCAGAGTAAATTTGAAGAGAAAATTCTCTCCGTGTACTATTTTGTGTTAATTAAACATATAGAAATAATTTAAATTAAATATAATATATAATTAAACCAACAAAACGTATATATTTGAAAAATGTAAAAATCTCTGAAGTCACCAGATGATAATTAAAAAATGGTAGTAATTTAATCAACCAACTCTGGTATATATTTGACTTAAATACTAATATGTTCAATTAACAAAATAGTAATTTTATCGAACGATTGAATCAAGTTAACAATATTTTTCAGTGCATGCGACGATATTGTTTTCTTTAAATTAACGTTTGGTATCACTTGTGTGCGTTTTAATGCGTTGAAATGCGAAGACGTCTCGGAACTCTCATTACCAGGCAGACAATACTGATCTTGTCGGCGGCGACCATCCTCCTTCTATTTCGTAAAAACGACTAAAACGGCGGCACGCACTTTGCGCGCCATTTATACGACGAGCCGCCGCGTCCGCTTAAGAGCTAAGTCTTGTCTTGGTCAGGAAATGCGTAAAACGCGTATTCTCCTCGTCATCCTTTCCATGAAGATTTCTACACTTTCTCCCCTTCCCTTTTCTGTGTCAAGATTGTTACGTGTTATTCACGAAATGCGAGGTGTTATCAAGAACTTTCCTTTTGTCTCGGGGAGACGTTCGCGAGACGAATTCCGCATAATAATTTCTGCTTCATTTAAATTTCTTTTGTTTGATTTTACGCTGTCAGAACGGCGGATTTTTTTCCGCCGTCATGCGGCATTGCAAATGCACTTTCACCGGACACGTTTTAGACTCGGAAAATATTTTTTATTTTCCTCTCCGAGAGAAATATGCAAGGAGTGAAAAAGTAATGGAATTGCGCGGTATATCGAAAATTCAATATATATGTAAAAATTCAATGATATTTAAACGTTGGTTTTTAGACGTAAGAGTAAAAAGAATTTGTATATTTTATTTATATTATTTATATATTATTTTAATTTGTTTTTATATACACAAAAAAATCGCAGCGAACTGTCAAATATAATTTTCTCGCCATTGTGGTAATTCGCGCATTGAAATAAAAATAATTACAATTACGAATTATTTATTTATTGTATTATTATATTATTTTCAGATTATTTGATGAATGAAATCATCCAAATGACGATTTGGCTCAATGGCATCGTTTTAGTTGACATGCTTTCACCAGAGTGCGCAATGTTACGGTCGATGTTTCCTCGTGAATTGGACAAGAGACCATGAATGAAATGACTACTATACTACTCTCCCTTATTCTTTCATAACTGTGAGAATGGCGGTGGTAAGTTGTCCGTTGATTGATCAGCTGGAATCTAGGGAATCTGTATGCTGCATATTTCCAACATGTATATTTGCTTTCAGCCAATAGGAAGGCAGCACTTTACACAAGGGACGACAGCTGTTCGCTTCGATAGAAACGTCAGACTCTTAGAAATCAGTCCGAAGTTCCCTCTTCCCGCCAAAATATTCATTAACATTGTTTAATACATTAGACTAGACGCTTTTGTCCACGCTCGTACACAGTGCCTTCTTGTAATTAATCAAAGAAATGGAAGTTAATCTGGCACAAGCTGGTCAAGCACGTGTACAGGATGAGGTCGGGATCAAGTGCCAGAAATTGTTCCAAGATTTCCTGGAAGAGTAAGTAATACTATATCCACTTATTCCAAGTTTATGTATAAACTGAGGCAAGCTACAGCAGGAATAATGTAGAGACAGAAAAATTATAAATGTACTCTGATAGTAATGATATTACTATTATAGATTTAAGGAAGATGATGTTGTTAAATATCTGGAGCCAGCTAAGGAACTTGTCAGTCCAGAGCGGTGTACATTGGAGGTGTCCTTTGAGGATACAGAATCATATAATCAAACTCTGGCTACAACCATAATCGAGGAATACTTTAGGTATTATAATCTATTTTTATTTGTCAATTTTAATATCATATAGTAGTGTTATATTAATATATTAAATTAATAACGTTATGCAAAAATACAAGACAAAATGTTTGCATTATAATTATTCTGAATGATGCATGAATAAGAAATATGGATAACAGTTTGTAATAATTGTTTTTAGTTATTAATAAGATCTTGTGTTCTAGGGTATATCCATTTTTATGTCAAGCAGTGTGTAATTTTGTCAAAGACGTAGGACAGTTACAAAAAGATAAGGAATGTTACGTTAGTTTTGTTGATGTACCAACTAGACATAAATTAAGACAGTTAAACACATCACGATTGGGTACTTTGGCACGTATATCTGGACAGGTGGTACGAACACATCCTGTTCATCCAGAATTAGTTCTTGGTACATTTATTTGTATGGATTGCAATGCAATTATAAAAAATGTGGAGCAACAGTTTAAGGTATTATAAAGGTTTAAATTTATATACTATTATACAAAACATGATTAATTTTTATTAAATAATTAATTGTTTTTAGTTCACAAATCCAACAATCTGTACTAATCCAGTATGCAGCAACAGACGACGTTTTATGTTGGACGTGGATAATTCAGTATTTGTCGATTTTCAAAAAGTTAGGATACAAGAAACACAAGCTGAGCTACCTAGAGGCTCTATACCTCGCTCTGTCGAAATCATTTTGAGAGCTGAGACAGTTGAGCTGGTGCAAGCTGGTGACAGGTAAATTTGAAAATAACATTTTTAATGATTAAATATTTAATTTTATATATGTTGTATGAAAATTATAAACGCATTCTTTGATTTGTGCAGATATGATTTTACGGGAACTCTTATAGTAGTGCCAGATGTGGGGGCACTAGCTTTATCAACCGCTAAAGCAGAGATTGGACCAAAAAGTAGAAATAATGAACAGAGAGAGGGTGTTAGTGGTTTGAAGGCTCTTGGTGTTAGAGAGTTGACATATAAAACAGCATTTCTCGCCTGCAGCGTTACTGCTACAAGTTCAAGAGTAAGCAGAATTACAACAAATATTAAAAACATATAATCTTATTAAAGAACAAATATTTATTTGATTAATTTCAAATTTCAACAGTTTGGAGGCACAGATTTGGCAATTGAGGAAATCTCACAAGAAATGATGAAGAAACAAATGTCAGAAGCGGAATGGAATCGCATTTATGAGATGAGTCGCGATAAACATTTGTACGAGAATCTAGTTTCCAGCTTGTTTCCTGCGATACACGGCAATGATGAAATTAAGAAGGGAATTACACTGATGTTTTTCGGTGGTGTACCAAAAACTACAGAAGAGGGCACGTCGCTAAGAGGAGACATTAATGTCTGCATCGTCGGTGATCCCAGCACTGCAAAATCTCAATTCCTTAAATGCGTGTCCGACATTTCGCCTAGGGCAATTTACACGTCTGGAAAGGCGTCAAGCGCGGCTGGTTTAACGGCAGCAGTTGTGCGAGATGAAGAATCATCAGACTTCGTCATAGAAGCCGGGGCATTGATGCTCGCGGATCATGGTATCTGTTGTATCGACGAATTTGACAAAATGGATCCAAAAGATCAGGTCGCAATTCATGAAGCTATGGAACAACAGACGATTTCAATAGCTAAGGTATCTTTGACATTTATATTATACAAAAGGTCTATAATTGGACAGTCTACATATGTAAAATTTTTTAGGCCGGCGTGAGAGCAACTTTAAATGCTCGAACGTCTATATTAGCGGCGGCAAATCCCATTGGCGGGCGATACGATAGAAGAAAATCATTGCAACAAAATGTCCAGTTGACCGCACCTATCATGTCGAGATTCGATTTGTTCTTTGTTGTGCTGGATGAATGCAACGAAATTGTTGACAACGCTATCGCTAAAAGAATCATAGATTTACATTGTGATAATCTAAATGATCTTGAAATGATCTACAAGCAAGACGAGATTATTAGATATATCAATTTTGCTAAGCATTTTAAACCTGTTTTAAGTCGGGTAAGATATCTTAGAATAAACTTGTTAACTAACTTTCAGAAAATTGCGTTGTTGATTAATTTAATTTTTATATTTTAGGAGGCTGCCGATCTTTTAGTAGATAGTTACACGACTCTCAGACAAAGAACGGGTACTGGAAGTGGCAAATGGAGAGTCACTGTGAGACAGTTAGAGAGTATGATTAGATTGTCCGAGGCGTTAGCAAAACTAGAATGTGTGGATGAAGTGACCGTGAAGCATATTAAAGAAGCGAAACGATTGTTACAGAAGAGTATAATTACAGTGGAACAACCTGATGTACATCTTGAGGAAGATGGAGATGATGCGAATTTAGGAATGGATGTCGATGAGCCACCACCGCTCATGGCAGCGCTAAACGCATTAGGCAATAATGACGATGCACCGCCTGCGACACGTATGTCTGCATATTTTCTTTTTTTTTTGTTTGTTTATATATTGTGCACTTATTGTCATTACATACGTTTACTTGATTTATCAGCGTCTAATGGAATACGCGAACTGCCGAAGAAGAAATTAACAATGTCCTTTGAAGAGTACAAGAACCTGTCAAATATGTTAGTTCTCCATATGAGAAGCGAGGAAAATCGTGTCGAAGCCGAAGGTATTTTGTTATAATATTAATAATAATAACAAAAAAGTTTTTATTATTATGTCTATATATTAAATTAGAATATTTTTTCTTACAGGTGATAATAAAGGTGGCATACGGAAATCCGAATTAGTTGCATGGTATCTTGATCAAATACAGGATCAATTAGATTCGGAAGAGGAGTTGTTAGAACGGAAAAACTTTATTGAGAAGATTATTGATAGATTGACGTATCATGTATGTATTAATATTTTTATATATTTATATTGCTATATTTTTGAATTTTATATAATCATTTATTACACGTCGCCCGCGCGAATTAACTTTCAGGACCAAATTATAATACCTTTAACAATGACCGATTTGAGAAGTAAAGATAAAGAGGATGAAGAAGAAGAGGATCCTTTACTTGTTGTACATCCCAATTATGTCATGGATATATAATTTTATTGTATTTCATATATTATATTGATACTATAATAAAACGTGTGCCTTTGAAAGAGAATAATTCATCTTTTTAGCTTATCATTTGCAGCAAAATTTTTCAAAATTTATATATTTTTAATTTTAATATATTGATGTTACATCTTTCTAATTTGAATTTTGTGATTATTATAAGAATTACATTGTAGAATAATTTTTAACCATTTTGCAACAATGTGATAAAAAAATACATTCTTACATAACTATAAGTACTTTATTCTTTCCAGCCTTAAACGGGTATGTACAATTTGTTTGCTATGTAATCTTATGTTTATCATTGTTTGTAGGCAAAATAAATGAATAAATCATTCAAATTACGCAATATAATGTGATATGAGGAGTATCTTGGGAATAACAGATCTTTTTTTAAACACTTAATTTTTTTTAATGTAAAGATTGAATATATACATATAATTATATGAAATGAAAATACATACCTCATTTATTTTAATGCACTATATTATTCATGATTTACAGGACATTGCAAAAATAGAATAATCGGTCTCTATATTAATATACACTAATTATCGTGGTGTAAATCATGTTAATCCTCATTTTGATGCATATGTTAGAAGGTGAAACCATCTGTTCTAAATAAGAACATTAAATTACATATACGTATATAGTAGCTTCAATATCGAGTTTCAAGTATCACTTTTAAATTATATAACTATGATATTAAAAGAATTCTTATAAATGCTAATAAAAGTTTATCTTAAACACAAAAATTATAAAGATAAACATGTGCTCTTAAATGTTAAAAATTATTTTATTATACAAATAATTTTATTATAAAAAGATTTATATAAAATTATATGATACTAAAATTTTCCTGAAATTAATATAATATATGGTTAAAACAATTTAGAAATAATATTGAAAAAAATTATACGATAAAGTTAGGAAGATTGATATAAGATTAACTCATATAAGCATGATCAGTTTGTCATTCTTATTACGTATACATTTATCAGTGTTTGCAGTTTTAATGTGACAAAGATACAGTATATGTACTTTTATTGCTGATTAAATGTACACAAGTATGTTACAAATGTATTAACTGCATGTAGGTGGGGAATGTTCCGTGCAGCAATTGAGAAGATCATTTTGTCCTACAATTTTAATATTATTCACAGTTACGTGATGTCTACAAAGAAGTCATCAACTGTAGAATTACGACAAGTGAGAAGAGAGAATTACTAAAAATTTAATATGTAGTTATTTGAGTGCGGAAAGTGTGAAATTATCATTTTAATAATTTATCATTTTCTAGATTTATCATATCTCTCTTGATTTATACAATATTTGTGCGTTTATTAGTCATGTGGTTTCGCAGTCACAAGAAGAATATCTATAAAATATTATTTATGTTATATGTCACCAAAATATTTTCCATCGCAAATATAATTTTATATTTCAAAATCCATTTATATACAATTCATATTTTATTTATAATTTAGTGATGAAAATGTGTAAATAACTCTTTTCAGCTGAAACCTCGCACATTTACAAAAAAAAGTTATAATGTTTTCTAATACATCGCATTTTTTCGTCACAGATTTTTGCAGTTAATTTAAAATGAAATTTTGCAGATAAAATTGTCGCGACATATAATCGCTCTCTAATTAAATTTTTTTCTAAAAAAATGACTAATTTTATATAATGTAAAAATCTGTGCAAAAAAAATGTTCATTTACATATATAAGAATGTAAAGTATGTAAGAAATAAAATTAATTTGACAGGAAAGAACATGGGTACCGTGTGTAGGCGATTTCCCGATTTTGAAGAAATTCTTTGCACAGAAAGAGGGACCATTTTGGTACGCAGTGCATTTATTCGAAATTTTGCTGCGCGGATATGGACAAGTGAGTAATAATAAATTGTACTGTAATTGTAATATTAGAATTTTCATAATTTTCCATAAATATGAAAGAAAAAGATAATGAAGAGAAATATTATTTTTTTTATCATATGACCAGTGTATGTTATTGCAATAATTTTATAGGATATAGATTCATAAAAAGATAATCCGCCATTGCACGGTGACAACATGAAAATATAATCGTTGTTACTATCAAAAAGAATAAAAAAATATTATTTTTAATTAAAATTATTTTGTTAGATTATTTTATAATTAACGAATTTTATATATATATATATATGATCTTACAAAAATTGTCCTGAAAATCTACATCCCTTAGAAAAAGAGAATTTGTTCCAGTAATAAGATCGAATTTTACATTTCCGTGCGTTGCACGTTGTATTACCATCGTCGGAATCGTCGCATGTATTTTTAATTAACGTAGATTGGTTTGATTAACGTTGCAGATTGTTTTTGCGAATAATCCTCTCAGCGGACTACTGATAATAGTTACCATGGCTGCGGTAGCGCCAGGTACATTCGTGTGGTCCGCAGCCACCGCCGTCCTTGGCCTCCTAGTGTCCGTGGTACGTTTTATTAATTATTAGCTGCGATAGTGTCAAGCGTTCTTGCCGAAAAGGCGCAACACATTTTCTGCCGCATTGCGTCGTTGAGACGGACGCGCCTTGACGTTTTCGACGGTCTCTATTCGTATACGTGACGGTGCACGTCACGTAAAACGCTCATCGTGATTTCTTTTTCATCTCTTGCGAGTCTAATGGACCGTTTGCGTGTGCACACGGAGAAAAATCACTGCAATGCGGCAAATCACCGGCTGGCAGCGAAAAGGATTCCCTCAGTGCTGGAATCCTTGTTTCGAAACGCTTCGCGATACGTCATTTTTCTTCAGACTCCTTTATATTCTGTTGCAGACCATTCGAGAACCGCGGGAAATTGTAGAAAACGGAATAACTGTCTTCAACCCTTTGCTCGTCGGCGTGATGTCATATAATGTGATACCGCGGATGTACGGACCCTTCGATGCTTTCTGTTTTCTGCTTGTATTCCTAGGAGCGATACTCAGGTACATTTCCGACACACACTTAATTCATGTTTCTATAGGAGTATCTTGCAAATATTTTGATAATATTTGATAAATTGTTTATTCGTACCTATACGTTATCGCAATAATTATAAATTATGTAATTAATTTAACTCGAGATATATCGTGAATGATGATAAACATGTTTCACTGAATAATACTCAAATAAATGTATTTTCGATTTAATACAGATGTCGCATGAAATATTTCTCTCTATGCAAAGTAATTAATTATTAATTCATAAATAACATCTTGACGCGAGTTAAATTGATAACTTATAATTAAGCTAACAAACATACACGAATTAATTTAAACGCTTGATAATAATTGTTACAGTATCAAAGAGAATAATAGACTGTATATTTATATTACACTGTAGAGTTGAACCGTGATAATAATACTTCAAGCTAGAACGTATATGAATTTAACGCTACGAATAACATTATGAATTTAGATAACTCAAAGTTGGAGAAACGTATATAGAGAAATCAAATTCATCGTGAGTGTATGTTTGAAAAGCAGGATATTCAAAATAGAAAGTTTAGAATGGTAGATTACACTGCAGAGTTAGCTACAATATTCACTTGCATTATCCAATGAAGCTGCATTACAGCGTTAGCAAATTTCAACAGTCCCTGGTTAATGTTTTCTAGTGTTTATCTCGCGCGGTCTCTGAGAAGCGATAAATTCTCATGCACAACGTGGCCATTTCACCTGGTGGAAATCCTGTTAATTTTCGCCTTTTCGACGCAGAACGTGTTGACTAAATCTACGGAACCAACGTTTGAGATGGTAAATTAATTTTACGTTACGTACGTATAAGATTTGCAATAAATTTACATATATAATTGCGTAGAATTAATTACAAAATTTAATGAAAAAATTGAAATAGCGTATTAGAAAAATATAAAAATCCAAATATTATAATTGTGCTACCTATTAGTGATACTATGATATTTCAAATTAAAGTTAATATAATTGAAACACTTTTTTCCATTAATAATCAAATTTACAAAACGTAGTACACGCGAAAAGAGTTTTATTCGACAAGCGTTATACTCATTAAAAATTAGTGATTAACCGCAATTCTAAAGATTGAAATTTATCCTCGGTTTTAGACGAGAGGGTAAGGTTGATGAAAATAAAGCGGAGATTTCGGCACTCGAAATAAAACTCGCTCGAAAAGAGACGGGGCCTCCAATATTCAGAGTATACATATTTGACGTGCCTTCACAAGGGAAAATGCCTATCCACGTGGGCATGGCTTTTCCCCGTATTGATCAAACTCAACCCGAACAACTCTGTCGGTGATAACTTTACCTCTTCGGCTCGGATTTATTTCATCCCAACTAGTCGTCGGTTGTTTGTTTCCGTTAAATATTGGGCAAGTTTCTGTCAGATTTCTCTTTTTCTCGCAGACTACTACTACCTTTTTTTTAGTAAACAGCGCTACTAACAGTAGCGTATTTGAAAATATGAGTTGTGTAGCTGTGGATATATGTAAATTAAGTTTTATGACGAGAGAGAAAGAGAAAATGTGCCATTATCTTCGCGCTATGGTAGTCGCTGAATGTATCTTCGCGATAACGTGAAAGAATTAACTGTACTCTTTCATCCAGCGTAAGGTAAACTTCGCGATTCATGCGAATAATGCTCGATTGTGAGCAGCGAAATTTGTGAAAATCGCAGCTGCGCGGAAAACAACGTTCTTTCCTTTCTTTTTTTGATGAGAAAAGTTTTTCTCCCTTGTATTATAGAAAAATTTATGGCCGAGGTCGATATGCACCAGGCAGAATATAAATTACTTCTCTCCGCGCGGCATATATTTCATCATAAAATAGTTTGAACCCTCAGACTTGTCGAGAGATCACCCCGTGCATTTCTGCATCATGTGCACCGGGTTATTGTGTAAGACTCTCCCATTGTTTTCAGCATAATGCAACAAGTGAGACAACGATGATGACGACGACGGCGAACGACGCCGGTTTCTACGACGCGACCGACGTTTATATCAACTGGGGAATGGTAGAGTTTACTGGTGCTCCACTTTTTGTAACTTTGTATATCGTATCCTCAATTTTGCAAATTAGTATCTCGCGAATTTCTGGAAATATATAATGGCATCTCGTTTGTTTCTACGTTTCTCTCTGATTTCAAAATCTATCCATTTTTCATATTGCAAAAATATATACGATATGCAGTATAACAAAACATCCTTGTTACGCAAGACGTTTCGATAAACTTTCAAATTTCGTTTGTCGCGATTTCGCTATATCGAGTTTTCTATACAATTGGTACACATAGAGTTACTGAGTACAAGAGTCTGTTGAATTTTATTTTATTGAATATCGTGTACCGATATTGATATTTGTTGCACTAGAATTTCTTCTATATAGCTGCTCAACGTTATTGGGGGTATGTAATAAAAATAAAAGGGAATGAATATATATTTTTGTTTCTATGTATATCAAGGAAAACTCGATAGAAAGGATATTTAAATAAAGATATATATTATTCCATTTGTGCGCATATGCTTTAAAAAAATATATTTTAGATACTACGAGGTTGCGTCCTTTCCGCGCCTCAGATGATAGGCATTGAAAGTGTGATCCTTGGAGCTGTCATGTATCTGGCAATGTTAATATGTTCGCCGACGACAATCGTGTTCTCCTTCATAGGCGCTTTCTGTGGAACTTTAGGAGGTATTTAATTTTTAATAATTTTTTATACAAAAATATTAGATAATTTTTTTTATACAAAAATATGTATAAAAGGAGACAAAAAGGGAGAGAGATGAAAGGAGAAAAAAAGACGAGAGAATCATTAATTTGCTTTTTTTAATGGGGTAAAATATATGAAACTTTCCAGCGTCGATACAATCAGGACGTTTGTTTCGAGATAAAAGTTTGGGGACATAAATTATTGTTATCGCAATTTTTTTTTTCTGTTAGCTTTGCAACTCGGAGTGGACCATTCTAAGGTTTACAGCGGAGTCTGGGGATATAACAGTCTCTTGACCGCGGCTGCTTGCGGAGGAAATCTGTTGGTGTTAAACGGTCAGACGGCAGCTGTCGCCGTCATGGGGGCTATTTTTGCTTCACTGTTACAGTATTTTTTAGAATCGTTGTTTATAAACGTAATTAAAACCTTTCTTTTTTTAAAGTGATAAATATAAGGCCAACTTATCGAGCTGAATATTCGAGATGTTCAGTCAACTACCATTTATTACATGTATAAATTATAAAACTACAGTCATTATATTAAAACTAACGCAAATTACAATCATTCTATAAACGTTTCGACCGCACGCGGTCTTCTTCAGTATAATTATTGAAATATAAATTCTTACAATTCACATAATATCGAAATTTAATTATAGTTATTCAGAATCAAGAGTTTTTGAGCAATTAACGCGTGTTTCAATCCGTCCTGTCCAACAATGTTCGCCTCGATATGATCCCTGATTTTGTTCAGATCTCGGATAGTTTCATCGTTAATATGCGAGAAATTAACCCGTTCCGTAGGCGCTATCATCGTTCTTCTTGACAATTTTGCTACTTATTAACAGTTATTAAGGATGACACATAACAAACCAACAATACAGAAAGACAGCTCATTTTAAACTCTGACTCTTGATTCTGAATAACTATAATTAAATTTCGATATTATGTGAATTGTAAGAATTTATATTTCAATAATTATACTGAAGAAGACCGCGTGCGGTCGAAACGTTTATAGAATGATTGTAATTTGCGTTAGTTTTAATATAATGACTGTAGTTTTATAATTTATACATGTAATAAATGGTAGTTGACTGAACATCTCGAATATTCAGCTCGATAAGTTGGCCTTATATTTATCACTTTGTTTTCAATATACGAGCGACAATTGTATTAATTTACTTTCTTTTTTTATTTTGCTGATTTATCATTTTTTTCATATTTTTAACGCGTATTTTAGACACAATTACCAATATTGGCGCTACCGTTCATAATATCGACTTCGTTCCTTATAAAACTGAGCACTGGCAAGGAAGATCTAACATTTCCGTGGCCCGTATCGCCAATTTCTTTTCCCGAGAAACAGCGACAAGATTATCTCGCCCGTTGTGCGGCACTTAAAGAGGTAAATTTTTCCTGATTTTTTTACGTGCACCCTTTTTCTTTCTTCTCTCGCGACTCGACACATAAAATTTGATATTCGCGATGATAGAGGTCGGAATAAACGACGTACCTACTTTATCATATATAACGTATATCGAATTCCGGTCTGTAAAACGTGATTTGTCGTTGAAACTTTTCGGGCGATAAGGTGGCTTTTAAGATCCATCAAAACCACGCCCTACAAAAAGAACAGAAATTGATTTCTGTCCTACTCTCAGCCGGTGTATAGACCGAATTGTCTTCCCGGTAAACAAACTAAAAGAAATAAAACTTTTGAGCCTTAAATCCCTGCAACATATTGTTATGATTAATGATTTCGTAAAAAATTAGAATAATTAGAAAAAATAAAATAAATAATTTATTGAAATTTTACACAGAGAAAAAGTCTAATTATCATAATTTTTTATTCTAAATAATGTAAAATTTAGTTAAATATAAACATAAATTTAAACTGTATTTTTTGAATTTTTATTTTTATAGGAAGAAGATACTTTGGAAGAACTTGAGCTTGTCATTCAGAATGAGAAGGGAACGTCCGGATAATTAATGGTTTGTTTTTGAATGATATACGTAATTACAATTTGGTTATATTATATGATAAGCAACAATATACCTATATATTCAACATTTCTAGTGCCGTTTTAATTATTTAAAATAAAAATATCTCTGAATTCTTTTTAAAATATTTTATACAAATATTTATGCTTGACTAGCAATTTGATTATTTAGTTTATTATTAAACTAGTCACATATTTCTGACAATGGCCTTTAGACTGCTATATAATTCAATAAGCGAGTTCACCATTTTTATTTCCTCGCAAAGGAAAAGAAATATTTTCCGCTGATTCGCTCGTGTGGAACAGATGGAGTTATTCTTGCGATGACTACGAACGTACATGTATATGCGAAAGATGATGTTTTTCAAGCATCAGTGAATGTTAATCAGAATTACGTAAGATATTTGATAGAGATAGAAAGATCCAGATAACTATATAAATAAAACTATTTTATTGTACCTTGGCATCATATTTCATGCACAAACAACACAGAGATAAATTTTTACAGTTACAACATTAGGATATATTTATGTTTACATTTACTTTATACACTTATTAGATTTATCACTTTACAAAAACACGAAATATGAAAAATTTAGAATGACCTAAAAAAATGATACTGCGTTTGTATGTTGCGAAAAATTCGAAAGCAACACAAGACGATGCATGAACAATAAGTTACTAAAACAATTTTATTACAAAGAAAAGATTTTACTTTTTAATCCACGCACGTACGCTTTCTTTTTCGTATGCAAGGATGTCCCTGGTACATTTCTCTTTCCACCAGGATTCTTCGCCATGTTTCTAGATAACAGGCAGTGTACGTGCTAATCGTCTTATCTTGCATAGGTGATACGAAAGTTGAGAGGGAGAACGAATATATAAAGATTTTGCTAGTAGAAGGGGATTTTTTCGGTGGGGCATTTTTATCGAGCTACGAGAAGCTACAGGTCGATTAAATTTATTTGAACGATTCCGGCTCTCACGAGTCATAAATTCAATCGCTAGATTTTTATTCGTTCATCTCATAATGCAAAACTGCACCGAGGGAGTCATACTGCATTTCTATTGCTTATTGCTCGCGATTACTGGATCTTGATTTTTCACTTTTGCACAAACTGCAATGAAATGTAAGACAGAGGAAATTTTGCGCATAAAAAAGAGTTTGACTGGAAATATATTCCAAAGTGGATAAACGCCAGGGACGAAGAATCTGTGGAAGAGATTGCCTCGAAGACGATTTAACAAAGACGAGGCCATCTCGAAGGTCTCCCTCAACAGTGGCTGACCTAATCAAACTGACAAAAAGAGTACCTTATTGCTTTGGGGGAATGAGGGTCACAATTCGTCCTTGTTCCTCGAGAAAAGAGAACTAATGAAGAAAATTGGAGCGAAAATCCTAGTCTTACGTCCGGCTCGTTAAAATGATTTTCTTTTATTTTTTTATCTTGCTCCAAAAACACGAAATTCGATATCGAGATTCGTTCAATCTCGGTGTTTTGTAAAATAATTGATAGAAATTTTGTAATACGTTATGATGCGGTTAAAATGTGGGATTTTACGTTCGTGTATCGCTTCTTGTATCACTATCTATCTTTATAACGTAACCCGTAACTGCGCGGTTGCAGCACAAGCAATAAAATGATTTATACCTCGATAAATCGAGGTTTAATATAGAATCCATAAAGTCAGCTTGTTTCTAGGAAAATTATAGAACAGATAGTTTTGTATAGATAATTGTAATAGCGTCTGTTAAAATTAGCGCTTCTAACTTGCCATTTGTCAAAACGCAATTTATCATTTCAGTAATAATTAAAGGCTAATTACCTGTTTTAATCGGACATTAATGCATTCACTAACGTGAAAGAATAACATATTATAAATTAAATACATATATTAAATTGATGGAATATATCTTCTTACAAAACTATATAAAAGTTTGATATAAAATTAATATTTATATTTATTAAAGTGCAATATTCTACTACACTTTCAATATCGAAGAATTTTTAAAGCTACATATCAATTTTTTCGAAAAACTTACTTCTTTTAATCTAGTTTATATTTAATTTGGAGAAACTGTGTGCCACTTTATGAACATTGCGTGCGAGATATCCATTATCGGGCTAACTTACACGAGGACCTACATTTGAAACGCGCTGAAAGTGGCACATTTGCGTGCGGAATAAACACGAAGAAAGAAGAAATTGAAGGGATAAACATCTCGGTTCGTTGGCATTCTCAGAAGGATCCGACCTCTCGAGAGTCGTCCTCCGTTCCTCGGTGTGACGACGGCGCCGACGTCGTCGGTGATGCTGGTGGTAATGGTGGTGGCGGCGTCGGGCAGGAAGGGGTAGGGCTGAAAGCAACCCTGCCAGAACGGCTACCTGCCTGCCGCCAACCCTGTCCGCGACGCTTCCCCAGTACTTGGACGACCGCGCACGCGACATCCTACCGTCGGGGTTGCGCGCTGTCGCGTCGTCGTGTATGCGTGTGCATGCGTGCATCTATCGCGAGTGCACTCGCACGGGGTAGCGGCATGCCGAGAGCGTTGCTGGGCACACCAGCAGCCAGCAACGTGGGGCTGGCGTGACATAACCCCAAGTGGCACGCTAATCGCAACAATCAACCCCTATCGCGAGAGGAGCCTCATCTCTCGCGCTGGGCGTACAAGAGAGACCTAGCCGGACCTCCCGGTCAGCATCTCCGCGAGATATGGAATAATGTAGCATCGCTAGGCTAAATGAGGGATACAGGAGGGTGCGCGAGTAGTGAGTAATTTATGAGCGGAATTAACGCAAAGCTGCAAATAGTAGTATAGTGTTAGTATATGTGCGTGCGTGTGTGTGTGACAACAAATAGTCTCATGTTCGCGTGATGTTTTCGAGAGAGATTTGTTGTAATCTACCTTAGCTCCTGGTTCTTTTTCTCTTCGCTCGTTTACATATACTTATGTACACGTATCTTCTGTTTTCTCTCCTTTGCGTGGTACAAAATTCATTTTCTTTTTTTGAAAAAAAATTTAAAGATTAAGTAGACGCGCTCTCTTGACTTTCTCGTTGCGTGGTTCTAACTCACTGTCTCTTCGTTTACTCTGTTTTGATTGTAATTTACCTCTCTCTTGAAGGTAAACACACTCTCAGAAATGATTTTGCAAAAAGAAAGATTTCAAAGATGAAAAAGGAAATTTGTACTTGAGGTACTTCATTTTTCAAAAGCTCCGTACCTTCTTTCCTAACTCCATCTTTTTTGTTATCTATGTTTTACCTATCTTATCCTCTAGTGTATGCTTTGTTTCGCGCGTCTTTTTGCTTATGAGATACCATGATACATTTTCGCGAGATAGCTTCATTTTTGACCTTTATTCCCTGGAGAAGCACGAGAAAAATTCGTCGGTCGTGTTTGGGGTTCGCGAAGAATTCAAAGAATCGAGGGCGATATAAGCAGATTGGATGGTATACGTCACGGTGAATAAATTAGGACATTGTTTGAAGATAGCCGCGGGGCTTTGAAGCCCGCACTGGGCTGTGTTTGACATCTCGAGCCTGATCCGCGATACGGACGAAGTTACAGAATCATCGGATAGCTCAAAGCGCGGAACGGTCTCTATGTAGCCCAATATTCTCGCTTCAGTATCGAGTGAATTTTATGGTCAATCGGCGGCCAAAGCGTCCTGATGTATATCGAATGCGCTAATCGATCAAGTTATTATGTAGGTGCTCTGACATTAGAGCAATCGAAATTAGAGCGATGACGCTCTTCATTCACTCCATCAATTTATCGCGTTTCACAAACGAGAGAGATTTATCATTCCTATATCTTATTTATAGATTCAGCAAATACAGTAATCCCTTTTAAGATATCAGAGGATTGTGATCTACAAAATCTGTCTTTAGTAAAGATATACATATAGGAAATACGTATAGATAGAATTTATAGCGTTATATTTAAAATATTTATTGTTAAAAAATTTCAAATATTATATAATATAATATTTTAATTGGTTACTGACACAACAAAGATTTTTGATATTTTTATTTTAGCGCGTGCAGAATATCTTTTAAATTTACAATATATAATGGATCATTTAATTATTTATATACCCGATGCAATTTTTCGAAATAGGTTGATGAAATAATATTTACTTATTTTGTTTGTAGAAAATATTTCTGGAACCTGCTTCGACACTATCGAAAGAAAATTCAAACATTCAAAAATCAATATTCAAAGCTATTTAAAGTATTCAAGAAATAGAATGTTATACGAGTGCAAAAATATTTAAGCGCGCGACAATATCAGTATGACCCCGATAATTTTCAATATACTTTAGTTTGGAATCTGACAATTTAAATTCAATTTCAATAATTCACACTATTGGAATATAAAAATCGTCGACTTAGCAGTAATTATTTCCGCGATATCGCATTTTCATCGGATATTTCAGCAACCAAGAATTTGAGCGTCGAGTAATTTTTAATCTCGATTTAATTAGTATAATTTTCTCATGGGTCGTATCGTGTTCTAGCTTGGCATGGATGCGTGTTTCGACCGTCCTTCGCATTGCGTCGCACGGAAGAACGGGGTCATTAGCTACGCGGATACTCGGTCGCGAGATGGGTCAAGCGAAATCGCTTGGACAGAAGCGAGCGACGTAATTCCGAGTTCGTTTTCGAGGAAGTGCGCACCGGGACAGGTCGATCCATCATCGTTGCGGTTCCATCTGACACCTTGACGACGCAGATCGATCCGATCGACCTGACCGCATCTCTCGCTAATAGGAATGCGGGATTTGTGTTTACAAAACACGCGATACACGCAATCTTTACGAGGAGTTACGTGCGCTACTGAATAGAGCGTTCCTGGACGTTTAAAAGACTTTAAATTTCTTTTTTTTTTCGAGACACCCTCGAGACACCGGCGATCGATTCTTCAGAATTGACAAACGATCTAGAGCTATTTTTCGCACTAACTATAATTATTGGAAGAATCGTCACGACGGCACTGCGACAAAGATTTTAACGAGACACTAAAGCGACACCGTGAAGTAACACCCGGCAATATTGAATTATGAGTGCTTTTGTGTGATGCGACGTACATCCGCGTAACTTCAGTGAATACGATTAATCATCTCGTAAAGCGGATACTTGGATACGGAAATTCGCGTATGATGGAAACGCGAACGCCGGCCAAACCGCTAGAAGATATTTACGGCAACCGTGGAAAATCATTCGTCTCGTCGAGCACGGCGAATCATCTGATATTTGCTATCAGATAATGCTGGGCCATCATTGATAATGGAGAGATAATCCGGCTAAGACTCGCATCGCGAAGCTGACCGTTGCAGTCAAGGACGGTTCACTGAACATCGATTGGTTCACGGAAGACAGAACGAATCCAGATTCCTTCCTGACGAAGCAATGCCCGAACGGGCTATAAATGGGAGTATCAATCATAATTATGGGAATCTTTAATGCCGCGATTTTGAATCCGCGGAGAAGCGGTTGCCCAAAATTGGAATAAATAAAGAGTTATCATATTTTATCTCTTTCTCTCTTTTACCAATCGTTAATAAACAATTAGCAGTAAGTAAACAAGATCGAGTCAGATACTGCCGGCAAGTACTTGTATAAAATACTTATTTAAATATCAAGACGCTTATATATGAATTGCGTACTCTCTATTTGACTACACGAGAGAGCTTTCCTCTACTGGCGAACACACAAAATTGCTTTTGGGTCGGCGAAGAGAAAAAAAAATATATAAAAGAAGGCTATTTTCCCATAGTAACCATTGGCGCAAAGAGCATCGACTGCTAACGCAGATGAATTGGCAAGGAACATCGACGAGCAGCTTTTACGCGGCTTGTAGCTGTTGCTGTTACGAGAAAAGGAGATCGTTAGCAGCGTCGGGCGGAAATCCCGCGGAGAAGATTAATGAACGGCGCGGTTAACGGTAGAGCGAAGTCGCGCGACGATAGCACAGCTGCGATAGAATCAGCGGGAAAACTCTCCCTCTCGCTCTTTCTGGTCCGGCAGTGGTGATTCGAGCAAGCCGGCTTGATGTTGTCGCGCTTCCTGCAGGAGCTGTCATCGGCGGACAACAAGATCGCCGTCGCGGAGAAACGGCGGGCCGACGGTTTGTGATCGTTTCGGGAGCGGGCCGATCGTACCCGCGTCAGAACCGATCGCGAGAGCGCAGCAGCGATCGCCACGATTGCTGCCGATGAGGGTAATGTGACGAAGGCGGCGGAGGCAGGTGACGAGATGACGGTGACGGTGACGCCGTCGACTTCCGACGTCGCCGACAAGGCGGTGTCGACGGACGATGGCGGCGGCAGCGGCATGGAAGTGGCGCGTCTCGAGGCCGTCCTCGCCGCCCTGGTGGAAACCAAAGTGGAAGCGATGAAGGCGTCCTCGACGCTCAGCCGACGTTCCGGTAGCGCGCCCGCGAGTCCGCGCCGACCTAGATTGACCTCGACCTCGACGGCCTCCTCTTCGTTGAACCACCACCATCACCATCATCATCATCATCATCATCATCCGCATCACTCGCAGCAGCAGCAGCAACAGCACAATAAGAAAAAGGGCCAGCATCATCAGCAGCATCACCGCCATCGTCGCAGACGTCACGATTCCGCTCCCTGCGAGAGCGATTACCTCAACAACGTGATGGATCATTCTCAGCATAAGTTACCTAACGGTAAGTTAATCATTATTATTGGCTTTTAATCTGGATAAATGTTGGAGTAATCCATCCTCCGTCTCGATCCATTACAAACTTATAAGAACGTTTCTTCATAAGACATCTTTAAAATGTCTTTAAGACGGCTTTAAGAAATCTTGTGATATGAGATCCAAAAGACATCTTAAAAATGTCTTACGCGCAAATTTTAGACATGGTGCTGTCTGGGAAGAAAGAAATAATTTTTTACCATTTTCAATAAATTGTCAGATTTTTTTTATAATTATTAATTTTATGTTAGATATAAAATTAAAGCCAATTCGTTGTATCAATTTTTTTTCAGCGCAAAGAAATATATATTGTTGCATTCTGAAATATTGAAGAAGATTAAATGATATTTATCAATTGTACTTTCTCTGTTTGTCATAGGAAGGGGACGGAGAAGAGCCTCCGAAAGTCCTCGAAGTCCTCGAAAAAAGCGCAGGCATTCGAGGAGCCCAAATGTTCTTCAAGGCGTCGTCCAAGACGTTCACCCCGGCCTCGATTCGCGCTTCGAGCTGCTCGGTGTTGACGGCGACCAAGATGTGGCTCTAATAAACTTCGAAAGGGCCAAGGAAGTCCTCGGCGACTCCTGCGAATATCCACGGCTGCACCGAAGTGCCTGCTACTTTTCTCAAAGCGCAGCTCAATTGTGAGTATTTTCTTTACGCTCGATGCACTTTTCGAAAGTCGCGACGAGAAGAACAGTAGTGTCGATAAGACAAACTTTGATTTCGTAGAAAGAATAATATTCGACGAAATTATTATAAAAACCAACCATTCTTTTCTCAACGGAAATTAAAACATTGTCTTCGCTGAGAATCAAACCGACTCCAAGTTCTATTGAAATTATATCCTCTCTCTCTCTCTCTCTCTCTCTCTCTCTCTCTCTCTCTCTCTCTCTCTCTCTCTCTCTCTCTTTCTTTCTTTTTTTTGTAGACAGTCAGACTGTTTCAGAAAATCTTTACATATTCCCTGACATAGTTTTCTCATTTATGATTTCATGAAACTTTGAATTCTCGCGTGCGCATCAGGAAACTCTCTGTGTTGGCAAACTTTTGTACGCTATCTTGTCCTTTACGGGGTCGCCGAGTGTTATCTAGTCCTTCCATATTCACTATATTCGATCGGTCAACTGCGAAAGGAGAGAGAAAGAGAGAGAGGCAGAGAGATATGGTTTTGGCGTGAGCGCAACACAACATATAGTGGAACTGGGTCAGCGCAGTGCGTGATTGTGCGCCTTAGTAATATGCCGCTCTCAGCAAACATGGTTTGGCGGCTGAACCACCTGGGCGACAAAGGACAAGCACTGCTGAAGCGTGTAATGAAACTGCGGCCGATCGGGAGTTACTCGATGGCGAGAGTGATCACAAGGAGACGTCATCACGTTACCACGTCATCCTCTTGTGTACTCTTCTCTTCCTTTTTTTTTGGATTTTAAACAGAGTCTCGAATTTCTATATATAGAAGACATTTGATAGCCTTTCAACGCGATGATAAAAAAAGTCTTTTATTATTTTCTCACATTGATTAATTCAACATTGAAGTTTGCGTAAGTTTCTCTTACAGCTCAGGAGTTTATCTGAGGATGTTTATTAAACATTTTTAAAGAATATATTTTGAAAGATATTTAATTATTTATATGATAATAATGCGCAGAAAATTAAAATATGCAATCATTTATAACAAAAATAAGTTTCGTTCAGCTCTTGAAGTTTGTTACAGCGGTGCTTTATAAATCCGGAATAATATCCTTTGATTAAAAATGTAATAACCAATGTGACCAAAACCATCCTAGATATATGCAAAGAACTGTCAAAGAACATATCTTGACAGTTATCAAATAACTGTTCGATATATAGAGACAATTTAATTAAAAGACTTTTTGTACGGCGAAGTAGAGAGAGCGTTGCCGGAACGACTGACTCAACGTCGACGTTTACTACTTGATATGGTCTGCTCCTGATATAGCTAAATCTACTAGTAGGTATATATCGATTTAATTTCTCTTTATCGTACGTCTTCTTTTAATCGAATATGTTGTTGTAGCAGCTCCTAGCTGTATATTTTTCGCATTTTCCGATAGCTTTTCGTTACAAATGTCATTTTATATCGATATATTTTTATAACGTATACGGAAATTAATTTTCTCAAATTGCGGAATAACGAAAATTTATCGGCCGAAATACATAAATTTCCCTAACAAATGTGCAACGGAATGTGCAAACGTCGACGCGAATGGATGCGTTGGCCATTGTCCGACCTTACGCTGGCTGTTATCACTAGCTCGAATTCGAGTCCTGTACAATGCCCGGCGCGTCACCTCGGTTATCGTTTTTCCACTTTTCCGTCCTATTCTAGCAGCGTTTTCTAAAATTATACTCAGAGAGCACGTGACACACGGCCTTCGTGTGTGTGACGTAGATAGTGCAACAATTGTTCTTCGTTCAGCTCGATATCGGGGTCTGCTTCTCGTTGCTTGTTGGGAACATGTATCGAATTGCCGGCACGCTTTTCGCATTATCGAGTTTGAATTTGTAATAGCTTGAGCTAAACTCAACAATTTTATTGTAAATATGTCACGTTAATTTATCACGCGCCTTGTTTAACGCGGGCTTCATATTTCCTTTTTAAATTTCTAGCAGTAAAGTTCTGTGTAATTTTATATCACATACTTTACCAAGACAAATTCTAACAGTCTTTTGTCAAATATTTTGCATATTTAAATTAATCATTTTACAGTCTAAAATGTTATATTATTGAAACGTTATGTCGAATTAAAATTTTTTAATTTCAAATTTTAATTCTTCGAATAATCATCGAAGTAATCGTACGCAAAGATACAAATTACTATCTTGAATTATTATTTACGCGTACATTTTAGTTTCTTACAGTTGCGGAATTCGGATTCTTTTAACAGTTTTTGCTCTCTTCGTATTGTTCAGTTTCTCGCTTTCGATCTTGGTCGATCGAGAATGGGATAACGTTTCTAATTCCAAGGGTCGATGTGCAAGCAGTACGCGGAAGCACATAACAATAGATCGGCCTTTCAGTCACCCGCATACGGCAAACAGCAACTTCTCTCGTATTTCACGAACAATGCAAGTACCATCATGATCGATATTTGTTCGTTGCTCATCTTTCTTCGAGTCTTCACAATCAGTGCCAATGTCCAGGAATGTGCTGGAGATATTATTTTTTTCGTTTGGTTCGCAAACGAAAAGCGCATATAGATTTTAATTAACGACAACGATCGCGATAGCTTGAGCCATCTTATTCAAATATGAATAAACATAGTCTCGAGAAATGGATGAATTTAAGATGATACAACGCTTTGATTTCTATTTGATTAATCTTTTATTATAAAAGCACTTAAATGTTTTAATATACGCAACTTACCTTTAACTTTATTAGATATTCCCTGTTTCATTTGTTTTATATTAGTGTATGTATGTATACAAGAGTTGATCTTAAAAATATAACAATCTATTTTTGATTTCAAAGAAATTGAAAATAAAACATATATAAATAAAATATTAGTTTTCAAGTTAAATTAAATGCCGGATGCACAGCCGGATTATTGGCATGTTTCATATTCGAAATGGTATTGATCAAGAGTAACGATTTGACAAGCTATAACAATAACCCGTTGTGGAAACAATAGCTTGATATTACATGTGCTGTAATGGATTTTGAAAGCGTCGTTTCAAAGTCAATTTTTGCCCACTCGAAACTTCGAAACGAATTTTCATTCGAGCAAATAACGAAAAAAATCTCTTTCTTCTTGCTGTTTTCCAGAAAAATTCATTACGACGACGACTATGTGGCGTTGAACATAGCCGACGAGCTGGAGGAGGAAGAGACCCTGAGCGGTCCGGAGAAGGTAGACGAGCCTCAAGGAAGGTATCACCGGCCGCGAAAAAAGCGCAAACGTAAACGGCGCAAGATCGACTCCGTCGTTCCGGAAGAGGAGAGGATCGATTTTGTCGATCCTGACGATCTTCCTCCCCGTGCACGATGGACGATCGTCGCGACCGCTTGTCTTCTACTCGCCATGTCCTTGCTCCTGGTCGGTGTCACGCTGCGAATGGCTCCTATAATCGACGACATGGGTGAGTGAATCGACAACTATCGGCGTACTCATTTCGCTTTATTTGGCGAGTTTGCCAAAAATCGTTTTTCTCATTTTATATCGTTAAACCATATTTTTCTGGTCACTTTTGCGTCGATATCGTTTTTTTTTTTTTTTCAATTAAACCTGCAAAAAAGATTCGTGAAAGATAGAACGTTCTGCGTGCTCGATAAACACTCGTTTACTCGCCGGTGATTTTATTAGAACGCGATAAAGCGCGAGATTTATTACCCGCGCGGTACGGATTTTTTACGAACGGTGAGTTATCTAAAAGTTTACTTACGCGATGCGTATGAAACTAGTAGCTAGATAGTAGCATGAATTTATACGTTTTGAGAGCGTAGGAGAAAATCATGTCGGATTACCGGAACTGAAATATGCAAGGTGGTCTCGAGGGTGGTAACCTCCGGATGAAGTCGCAAGGCATTAATGATTTAATACAGCTTTACTATGCAATTCCAGGAAACGATATTGTCACTCGAGCAGATCTAATTAACTGCATTGTCAAGTTTTCACAAACTCGGAGATTCGATTTAATTTTCTCATAATCTTTCATTAGAAATTTCATAAAACTGTTCTTTCATTTATACTATTATAAAATCTGCAGAAAGTTTCTCAAGTTCGTATTTACACTCACTCAATAAGTATGTAAATATTTGAAAACTTTAAGTGCATATATACTTTCAAAATAATTAGAAATTATCTTGGACGGTTCTGAAATAAAAGTCAATAATTAATACGGTGACCTACTACTTCAAGTAGTATACTTTTCTAATTTATCTGTTTGAAGTCAAACTTTTCATCAATACACCAAAAAGTAGTTTTCAGAGCATTTAATCTCGCTGACATGATTTAATGAAATTGGTCCTCAATTATGTGAAGTGATATAAAGATTTCGAGTTATGAAGATTACCTGATTCTAATGTGATAATGATTAGATCGTTAATAATTTTGGACGTCGTCGTTCCTTCCTAATAGCCAGGAAATCACGTTTTCTCGTGTGAGAAACGAGCTGGTTCTCTTAAACCGCGGAGATTTTCGCTAATTAGCCGGTAGAATTATGCGCTATGACGAGCGACGACACCCCTGAGTGCCGCATCTGACAGTGAACCACTGCCTCGGATGTACGATCGTAAGGCGCGCAAAACGTGCACCTATATATACACACTCGAATGTATACATTTAGTTCCACTCGCACAAACGAGCTGTATGCATCAGCGTGCGAGGTCGAGGGCGCTTCGCGTCTCTAAATTAAAGGCGCGCGTCTGCGAATCCTCCAGTCAGCCGTCGGATTTCCGCAGCTGAGCCACCTTAAAGACCCGGACGCGTCGCGTCGGCCGGATAAAAAGCTCGCTTTTATTTCGAGAAGTTTAACGTGTCGTGTTTTTCTCCCTCCTGCGTGTCGCCTCGAGGACCAAAATGTTTCATCCCGTGGCGAACGCGAGGATTCCGCGATTCCGTTCGTCCGGTGACACCCGCCGATTGGAAGCGCTATGCGAGAAATGGAATTAAAGTTTTAGCAAGCTTTCACATTTCCGATGCCCGCACCTCTCCGACGTGATGTGAAACTGTTGGAGCGATCCGCTGGAGTTAACTCTCATTTCTCTCCTCGAGGGGAAACAATTTCCTGGACGTCCGTGCGCGGAAGCAGTAAGGCTAAAATAAAACCGCGCTTTCGCAAAATCACTGACGAGAAAAGCAACTTAAAAAAAAATGCGATTTTAACGCTTCGATATTTTATAGATCATTAATCCTGTTCATTCAATTACTATGCGAGTAAAGGAATGAGATTAATAAAGATTGTCATCATCGAAATAGGTCAATTATGACTGTGAAAATAGAATATTCGAAATCGATTTTTCCGAAAAATATTATTCGTCTTTTTATATTTTAGAAAATTTTGTTGCTACGCAGTATCGTGATTTTCGCGTATAATTATTTGTTGTAAATATTTTTCGCGTTTGTTTAATATTGTTTACTTCGATGCTAACTAAATATATTAAAATTCAGTTTACTAGCCGTCAGCGATATCCGTTTCCGATAGAATACGTCAAAGTGTGAATGACGTTGTATAAATACACCAACGCGCGCGAAATCAACAAGTCAAAGTCGATACTTGAACTTATACGGTTAGACGATATTCTGTCGAGAGATTCACAGAAGCGATGTCATAGCTTGCGGCAGCGTTGCGGAAACGTTGCGGTATTATTGATCCAAGGAGATGAAATTGTTGATCCCTCGTCTCTGATAATTATTCTCCACATAAACGTTTGATAATATTTAACTGGCCTGAAGCTAATAAATTTCCAGAAATAAAGCGCGCGATAGACCGAACGTAATCGAGAGCGAGATTATTTTCTCGACGCTCCGAGCATTTGTGCAAAGCTTTGTGAAAATTAAAAATTGTAAATTTATACGTCATATATTATTCCTCGCATAATTTGTTTTGAAAATTTAAACAATTTCGAAATGTGTGTCTCTATATAATATAGAGAAAATATATTTTTATATTGGACAAGATATAAGTTATGAAGCCTAGACTCGTGTTTACATCGAAATCAAGAATCTAATAAATCTAAATTTTAAAATTGCCTGCACGTCATTTATTATATAAATGTGATTGAGCGTTTGTAATTAATTGTTTATGAACCACATGATTTTAATAGTTAAATGTACGAGATATTACTTTATGCTTGACTGCAAAATTTGTTTGCAAAATTACTACGGTATTGATTTGCATCAGATGCGACGTTCCATAACATCAATCTTTCATGTCAGCATCAGTATGTGCGACTTTAAATATTTTCGATTATCAATATGGCTTTTTTATCGTATTACATCATGTTTTAACTTAAGTAGAATTATCAAATTAGCATTTTTTATAAGAGATGAAAACTCAGTATATTAGATAATTATATTTAGCTAATTGCACTTCTAAACTTTAACGGTCTCTGAATCTTTATTCAATTTTTTTAAATGCCCTACATTTATTTTGAATTTAATGTATACTTATATACCATCTCGTATAATTACACGTTCTCCTTTCCTTTTTTAGAAAATTTTTACATACCTATATATATTTATTCTACTTGAAAAGAGGATGAATTAATTCTATTAAGTCTCACAGTGAAACTCGTTTCTTTTTCGATGTTCTTGAATCTCAAGAAATATCTTGCAGCAAAAGATAGCTCTCTCTCTCTTCGAAGCTTATAGTTGTGACGTCTTTGCAGCAAAATTATCGTGTATATGCTTCGTATCGATCTTAAATTCGCAAGATGCCTTCCTGCGCCCGAATTACACAGGAAGTGTCTCGTTTCGGTACTTTACCTTTACAACATCGCGTTTACATCCTCGTATTGCGTTCACAATGAAATCAGGTCAAGCCCAAACACGCGGTTGATTTTCGCCACCGTTCGATTTTGACGTTGCACGTCATTAAAGGGTACGGATATAGACCGATCGTCATTGCTGACATTTGGTTACACCCACAACTGCCGCATGTCGATTCATTACGATCATTTCCGCGTCAATAACGATCGTTTTGCTCGCACTGGATCGAGCGATCAATCAATTAGCGGTCTTTAATTAATTCCAATGAGCAATTGTAAACTGAAGCTTTTGAGTCAATGCTCGAGTTGTAGCTCATAATCCAGCATTATGCTGTTCCCAAAATTTGCAATTTGACAGAAATCCGCCGATTGTTCAACTGTTAAAATCTGCTAGAAAGCTATTTTGTAGCATAACATTTTTTAGTTACCTATTTCTTTTTTTTCCTTATAATCTCTCTTGTGTACATATGTTTGAGGTCGGTGATGTTGTGACTCTAAAGTGCTAACGCTGCATTTTACATCGAGCCTCGTGTAAAACTCTGCTACAAAGTACGTGAATTTTTTATTTCACTGTCACCGAGAGGAAAAGGTGAAATGGTGAGATCCTGCCGTGGTGGGTAAAAATTTAAATAGCACCTATTTCACGGGGTCATAAAGGGTCGTACGAGTAATACATTGCTGGCCATTACGCCCGCGTACCTCAGCAATATTGTAAAGTAGTGCGTATCGATCTTGTGGAAGATGACATCTGCCGTGCGAATTATTACGTGTCCGGTATTTGCATAATTCTAGGCTGCGTCAATTTGTGTTCCTATACGTCGTCTCGCATAATCAGATAACAGTTGCGTGTCGCAGATTGTTGTAAACACGAAATGCGTTTAACACATTATGAAATTAACACATTGTTATTGTTTCTGAAACGCTGTCTCTATTTGTGTATTATTTTGGCAATTTAATGTTTTGTGGATATTTATTCGGGACGGTCACGAAATTATTTTGTCCGCTCACGCATTCTTATTTGCAAATATATTTTACATCTATGTATTTGTTTTATATATTTTTTTATTAAAATACTGAGTATTACAGTACAAAAATTTCAAATGTTATATTTCTACACAAGTTATTGCATCACATTCATTCTGCGAAATTCTAGAGGATTAAGAAGAAAAAGTGAATTATTGCATTTCTTTCTAGTTCTCCGATTAAAAATTGTATAATTCGCAGATGATAAATTTTATTGTGCGTCAAAATTTGAATTCTAATTTAACAAGGCTCTCTCTCTCTCTCTCTCTGTATCGCGTAATATAGGATAATCCATTTTACATTTAGAGAGTGAAATTCAATGCGCGATTCGAGCATTACGTGTGTGCTCACATTATTATATTACTTCGCGAAATCAGGTTGGACCCGATTCAATGTGTTGTACCTCTCGATTTGACTTACGGTCTACTTCATAGGTGCGAACGTATTACAATTCACGGAGCAAAATCTCCGAAGTAAATCTACGTCATTTTCGAACTGTGTGCATTTTTCTGACTGACGTCACAAAATGTAGATCTGCGAAGATATTTTAGAGTTTAATTTCACTCCTGTTGCCGTGAATTAAAAATGTCGGGTCATAAATACTATCGTCGTAATTTGAAAGCTTTCA